CCTGAGTCCCATCCACAACCTTGTGAGGTGAGACATTCCCACTAGAAAGGACAAGCAGACTGGAACAGCTACAGTGACAGAAGACACATCTTCATGATGAACATGACCTATACTCAGAGCAGTTGTTGTTGTTGTTATGTGCCGTGGAGTCAGTTCCGACTCACAGCGACCCTGCACAGGGTTTCCAAGGCTGTTAATCTTTACGGGAGCAAAACGCCTCATCTTTCTCCCGCAGAGCAGCTGGTAGTTTCGAACTGCTGACCTTGCGGTTCGCAGCACGATTCGTAACCACTACGCTACCAGACCTCCTTACTCAGAGTGGTAGTTACTCTAAATACCAACAGAGAAGAAAAGCGTCTTCAAATCAAGTATCAATACTATCCACTCTGTACACAGGGTAGATAGGGACGGGCAACTTAAGACACTGGCTACATAAAATGAGGGGGCAATAAAGGCACGAAGTGACTGGCTTACAAGATTTCAGGAGGGAGCTGAGTTTAAGAGTATGGGGGGAAAGAAAGAGTCCCCACTGAATAGCTATCATATTGTCTAGATGGGTCTGGTGAAAAGAGATGGGGTTAAGATTTGTAAGATTCAATAGTGAATAATTGTTATCATGACTAATGGCGACTGTCACAATTGTAAAGGTAGAAGTTTTGTAACAAAAAAGGGGAGTGGTTAATCTTACAGTCCAAAGACAGAGGACCTAGGACCATCAAGAGAGGAACACACAAATAGAATGCAGGACCTTATCCAGAGAAGCAGCAGTGCCAGAGATTGAGACGGAGATGGGGGCATGGAGAGAGGAAGCGGCTGAAGACTCTAGATTCATGGTTAAGAAGAGAAGGACTAAGAGCCGGTGGCCAGGAGCAGACTTGCAGAATGTGCCCTTTGGAGATGTAAATTATTATATATGCCTGAGTGGGTTTTTTTTTTTTTTTAAAAAAAAAAAAAAGCTAAAGTGGATAGAGAGACATACTGTTAACTGATGGTACATGGAGGGGATTATAATTAACGTAATGAAACAAGGTATATGATTTGTTGAATGTAAAACTGATGATATGTCCTGTAAACTTTCACTCAATCCACAATAAAAACCTCCAGAAGGTACTATTCAATCTGTCTGGGCAGAGCTGATGAAAGGTGATACAGATGGGTAACTCGTGACACTGTAGTGAATAATGCTTATCAGGATGGATTATGAGGGTTGGAAATGCAAAGGTAGAAGTTTTGTAACAAGGAAGGGA